CGGTTGAGATAATCGTCACTGATGTTGGCTGTGAGCGGGAATCGAACTCGGGTCACCAGGTTCGTAACGCAGCGCACTAACCGCTACACCACAGCTCCTCCTCCTACACACACAAACACATACGTGAACACAAATACACACGCGTATATATGTAAATAGAAGCTGCGTGAGTTAATGATCAAAATCACCTCCCACCTTCGTCATTACCACCGTCGTATAACCAAAACAAAACTCTTTTTCAGAAACAAAAAAACAACAACAACAGAAAGCAACCTGAGATTATCACTCCGGAAATATATAAATCATCGACGTGTCGGACGGTGGTCCTTCTCTCGCAGCATTGAGGATGGGGTGGGTCATTGATGAGTTGTTGTTAATTGTCTTTGTGCTCCACTGCCAACGCAGCATCACCAAGTAATCGGAGTTTTGTACGTTACTGATTGTTACTGATGCTATCCTTGCGAGCGCGTGAGCGATAACGCAGGACCCACGGACTCGGACGCGCGCACCGCCGGTCTGCCAGCCTCCCGTCTCCGCATCGGTTTCAAAGACAATGCCATAGATATTATCAGGGCATCTTTGCTTGCATGTTCACCACAAGTACTGCGTGTGGTTAATGCGAACTTGATTCCTTGCAAAAGTTTTCTATTTGGTGTTTGAACATCTTAACACCTGCTGTTTTATTGCCGGAAAGGGTAAAACATATTATTGTTTTTTTTTCATACTAAAGCAGACGTATTATCTCAAAGGATAATTACAACCCCTTGTCAATCCGCTGCTGGATGAAGGTCCTCCCCCTCCGTCATGTCGGTTGTTTGACCGTACCTCACCACGCTGGTGAGTGAGAGCGCATTTGCGAAGAGGGCCAAACAAGCGATCACTCGTTGCTGGTGTGAGCCGTGACCCAATTCAGGTCGCCGAGTTCAGAGTGCAAGTGCGCGAACCTCGCCTCCCCAGAGGCTATGGACGAGTTAAAGAAGGGCAGCTCCTACAATTACGTGACAGGTGGCGGGTAATATATAAAGAATATATATATTTTTTGTTGCCAAGTAAGGCCCACTGAGCTATATGGCTCTTTTTCAGGAGTGACCTGGCCACAAATGATAGCTCAGCGAAGTGGCTTATCATGTAGAGATGTGTAGCAGCCACATGGATTTTAAATTTCGAGGGAAATCCCGGAGGACCCATACAAAAATCCACGCGACCACGGGGAGAGAGACATGAACACTCCTAATATTCATCAGGCGTCAGGGTTGGGATCGAACCTACGGCCCTCTGCGTACCAGGCGAGGGAGTTAACATCTCCAAGACGCCCTACGAACAACCACGAGTGAATGCCATTATGGAGGTGCGCTTCGGGAGAAAGTTCGTGGAGTGTTGTTATCCCCCCCCCCCTCCTCCATTGAAGCCAGCCCTGACTACAATGAGTTTACTTTACGGTCCCATAGTTTGGATTGCATGACCACAGTCGCACTCCCGTGGCTTGTCATTCCATTTTCCACGTATGAAGGAGACGTGGCACATCGGCACGTCGGTGTGACGATGCGGTTGACGGTCACGCCAGCGTCTTCGAGCAATGCCAATGTCCTGCAGTGCGATGTTTGGGTCTCGAATGGGGCGGGCGGGGGGGGGTGTGTTTATTTTGGACGTCCGCTTTGTTCCGCTCTGTTCGGATGGTTGACAGCAGCACGATCCCAGAAGGGGGGTCCCTACTACTTACCACCTGTTTACGCTTCCGTCACGGTAAGGACACTGTGGGCATTATTATTAGGTGGAAATTTGAGATTCCTCCTTGTCGTAAATGTACCTCACCTGTTGATTACGAGGCTGGTGTGGTGGTGTGGCTCACCTCGTCAGTTGCCTCGTGCAGTTGGCTTCGGGGTCAGCGCGCAGGGCCGATGCAGCTGAGTTTCTGGGTTCAAACCCGGGGCCTCAGTCGCCTCTGATCTTAAACCGGGTTCTCAAGTGTAGCGAGTTGGTGGTCTCAACCCAGTGACTACACAGTGGTCTGCACAAAGCCCTGTAATAACAAATTCAGATTTCGACTTGATTTGGATACATACGACCTCTGATATTTAAACATATCTAAAGTATATTTTTTGACTGGAACAACAACAACAACTTCTTCAAACTCTCTCGAGTCTAGATGACCATGCTCCTGTATATGTAGAGCGGCTTGACATGCGGTCGCATTCAGCCGCTTTATAAATAAATACACATTGTACTCACGGGCAAACGCACGCGCACACACACACACGCGCCAAGGCAGCGCCTAGCCAGCAGGGCAGGCACTCGCCCCACTCCTTACAGAGCGCCGCCAACTCGCTCACGCGATACTCACAGCACCAGCTCTCCATCGCAATTCGCATGTTCGACGTGCGTTTAATAAAGCGTGCGAATGCGCTCGGTGGGGGGGGGGGGGGGGGGGTTACCACCTGTGTTGAGAGAGCGCGAGGCCACAGTGGGAGTTGAGACAACACTGCCTGTATGTTGAACTTCTTTCGCACCGTGCATCTCTCTACACCGCTGTAGAGATGCGAATGAAGACACGCACACACATAGGTGCGGACGATAACAACAATAATTGTAATACCGTGTTAAGTGCGGATTTGAACAGAGGTGTCAGAGCTCTATGGGGCCGTGTTGACCGAACGAGCGAAACAGCCAGGATTTGGCAATTTGCTCTGTAATTGGCGGTGCAAGACGCGGGCACGGGGCTTTTCCTTCTTATTCCTCCTCTTGAAATCTTGGTTTCCTGTAACGCGGCCCAATCGCAGGCTCTCCGTGAATGCCGCGACTCCGAAAGCGTATGGAGGTGACGGCTACTGCCGGGATCTCAAAATCACCGCGTAGGTCGATGACGATGGTTGTTGTTGATGATGATCGATGATGATCGATATGACGCAACGACAATCATCAGGGATGAGGGGGGGGGGGCGAGGATGATGCAACCGGCGTCAGACTTCAACCATCACAGAGGGACGCGATGCTTGAATCGGTAAAGCACTTTTGCGTTTGGAGGCGGAAGATTCGTAAACACGAAGAGAATGGCCCTGGTGTATAGTGAGGAGCCCACCCATTTACTGCCTGATATCCATCATCACAGAATCACATAATCACAGACCCCTGACATCACAAAATCCCATCATCACCGACACCAATCATCACTGTTGCCATGACCATGGAGATCCATCACCAAATCCCATCACCACCGTTACCCATCAACGAAACTAATCAACAGCGGTCACATCAACACGGACACCACGCCACCGGCATCAACCCGTGTCAGTAACAATGCGCAACTTTTTTTTAAAGGTGCCGGCAGTGCCCGTGCACGTGGTGCTGCTGTGTCAGGGGAGTCTGTATGCTTATGAAGTCCATCAGACGCCCGGGGAGGAGCGTGGAACTAAACAAGGCAGTAAAAGCGCGTGGAGAGGGCGTGCGCCGAAGGGTCCCGTGTTTAACATTTAAATGAAATTAACGAGAGGCGAGAGGGCAGCCCTGGCACGGGAATCGCCCGCCCCGCGATTCATTGCCGGGGCGGGCGAGTGGGAGGGAGCGGGCGGGATGGAGGGAGGAGAAGGGAGGAGAATAAACGAGGAGGGAGGCGGAGGGAGTTGAATGGAAGGGGAGGGAAGGGGGATGGAGAGGGGAGCCACCTCCATGGGGGAGTCGGCGGCGGCGGCGAGGGGGGGTGGAGACGCTCAACTCTGTTTTTGTTGCACCGAGCGCTATGGCCACACGTAACTAAACATCGTGGGTGAACATCGCCAAAACCAGCACGTGACACAGCGAGACTGGCACGCAGTATGCTGTAAGAGTACACGCAGCACGCGCAGCACAGGAACCACGGAACCCCGCTGTCACCCACCCCTGTCTGAGTGCGCCATGCGGCAAAACGCGGGATGAGTTGATCGCCCCGACCCGGGGGTCACCGTGTGACACACGCCCGCCATACAGACACACCTATACCTACACATTGCTTCCTTACACACACGGTAAGCGTGTTACGAACTTGTACGGAAGCATACGCACCAATACAGCCACCATTCGCCACGAAGTGACGGTAACGTCACCACGGCGCCTGTGCCAGGCCAGGTGCACTTTTGAGGCCACGTGAAGTGTCGAAGGATCGCTAACAGGTCACGGGACAAACCCAGCAGATGCCATGGGTTGGTATCTGTAGTATTTTAACCGCCCGGCGCTCCGCTCGTTGTTGCGAGCGTCGCTCCTCTGCCCTCCGTTGTTGCTGGAGGGCGACTGCCTCCAACTGCCCAGTAGCGTCCTTCACGAGCCTCCTCCACACGATTACCCAATCACTACTCCATCAGTACACGCCCCTGTACAACCACTCACCTTTGCAACGTATCGCGAGTTTTCCGAGTTCGCTTCGCGCCCCTGTTGCGGGAAAGCAGCCCCGTGCAGGTGAGCAGGTGAGGACGAGGTGAGCGTGCCAGGTAAGACTCAACGAGCGGCTGCAGCGGGCGGAGTGCCCAGCTCGGGTGACCAGAAGCTCGAGTTAACGCGCGGGCTTGTGGAGTGGAGGGGGGGTGGGGACGATGTGGATGTAATGGGTGGAGTGGAGCTGAAAAGGAGGATTCGTATGAGTTCGATCCAGGGTCCGGGGGGCGGCGTTCAAAGCGGGTAGCCCTCACCTCCTCACCTGGTGCGTGGCACCGTAGCTTCCATCACAAAACCACGCGCTCGGCTCGCTCAATCCATCGGAAAAAAAACAACAAACCGATTGCATATCGGATCCATGGGCAAAACGTGCGATTCGTTGGTTGGATGATCGCGCTTGGACCCACGCCGCCGCCGCCGCTTGCTGCTGCTGCTACCGCCGCCGCTGATGCCGGTGGAGCTGGGTCCCCCCGTGGTCACCCCCCGTGGGTCCCCCCGTGGTCACCCCCCGTGGTCACCCCCCGTGGTCACCCCCGTGGCGACGCGCGGTGCCGCGCTCCCCATCGCGGCCCCGCGGGGAGAGCGGCGCCATTGGCTGCGCGCGAGGCGAGGCGGCTCTTCAAAGGCGGCGCGGAGTACATTACGCGCGCGGAGGGGGCGACTCGCCCACTCCGCTTTGTCTCTCTCCACGGAGAGCCTGCACCCCCTATAAAAACCCCGAGGCTGGAGGAGCGCGGACTTATTGTGATGGCAGCTTCCATCCCGGGGGTGAGTGCGCTCTGCTCCCGCTGCTCCATGGCTGTGTGCGTTGCTGTCGCGGGCCTCGCTCTCTCCGCCTTTCTGCCCCGTGCCCCCGGGGCACCATAGCCGCGCCTCGGCTTCACCCTTCCCGGCCCCCCCCCCCCGAGCCGGCGCGCCCCAAGTTGCTCTTTGCGGCTGCGGTTCAGCGTCCGGCGGCGAAGAGAACCAGGTACGTCCCGCGCGCTTCTGGGGTAGTCGCCGCCTCTCGGGAGTTGCACGCGGGCCCCGGCGGCTGTCACTCGCAGATCAGTTTATGGGCGACTTTAGTCCAATGCGATCTGCGTCTCGAGGAGTTCCACGCGATTTCACTTCGCGTTGTCGCGTCGCGTGCTTTCCCACATCCGCTACGCCCTGCGACCGCCGCTTTAAAAGCGGGGCAGGTTCGGAGACTGCGACCGCCGAGCCGGACCGCGGCAGCCCTCGCCTCGGGGTCGCGAGTGAGACCACCACCCCCACCCCCGTGCCACGGTAAGCGCCGCGAGAAACTCACGCCCGCCCGCCGCCGTGTGCGTCTCCACACCCCGACTCCCCCCCCCCCCCCCTCCCACCACGGCCCTAGGAGGACCACAAGCTGACCTCGGCACCGCTGGCCATGCTGGCCGCCACCTGCAATAAGATCGGCAGCGCCCGGGCTCTGTCCCCCGCCGCGGACTCCCCCGCGTACGGCAAGGGCGGCTTCTACCCGTGGAAGCGACCCACGTCAAGCGGCGCCGCGCACCCGGGCCTGGGCACCCCGGGCCAACGCGGGGACCTCGCGGACTGCGCGAGCGGCCACGTCGCCGCGGGGCCCAGCGCCTTCAGCCTCGCCGCCGCCGCCTCCTCCTCGTCCACCGCCTCCTCGTCCTCCTCGCCCGGCTTCCCCGGCGACTACGCGCTCTACCAGGCGCCGCCCGTCGTCGCCACGAGCGTCAGCTCGCCCGAGTGCTCGCAGTCGGCCTTCGTGTCCAAGGTGCACACTTCGGTGCAGGAGAGCCTGCAGGGCATGTACTCGCGCGTGGGCATGGCCCACCCCTACGAGTCGTGGTTCAAGGCGGGCGCGCACGCGGGCGTCAGCAACGACGTGAGCGCGGGGACGTCCGCCTGGTGGGACGTGCACGCCAACTCGAACTGGCTCGAGGTGCAGAACCCCGCGGGGAGTCTCCAGGGCGCGCTGCACTCGGCGCCGCTTCAGTCACCCGCGCTGCACTCGCAGCTCGGCGGCTACAGCTCCGACTTCTCGAGCCTCGGACACTCGGCCTTCAGTTCCACGGGCATCTCCGCCTCGTCGCCGCACCTGCTCCCGGCCACGCAGCACCTGCTCGCGCAGGACGGCTTCAAGTCCATGCTGCCCTCGTACGGGGAGTCGCCCGGCGGCAGCGGCGGCCTGCCCCCCGGGCCCATGATCTCGGGTCCGCCGACCCTGAGCAGCTCCTCGCGAGCCCTGGCGCGGCGTTTCCCGGGGCGCGCCACGTGCGACTGCCCCAACTGCCAAGAGGCGGAACGCCTGGGACCCGGAGCCAGCCTGAGGCGCAAGGGCCTCCACAACTGCCACATCCCGGGCTGCGGCAAGGTGTACGGCAAGACGTCGCACCTCAAGGCGCACCTGCGCTGGCACACGGGCGAGCGGCCCTTCGTGTGCAACTGGCTCTTCTGCGGCAAGCGCTTCACGCGCTCGGACGAGCTGCAGCGGCACCTGCGCACGCACACGGGCGAGAAGCGCTTCGCGTGCCCCGTGTGCAACAAGAGGTTCATGCGGAGCGACCACCTGAGCAAGCACGTGAAGACGCACAGCGGCGGCAAGGCGGGCAGCGAGAGCGACGAGACCAGCAACCCCGGATCCCCGCACCCGCACTCCCCCGAGACGTGCGGGCCTGAGCCGGGGGGCAACGGCTCCTGAGCCGGGGGTGGGGGTGCGGCAGCGGCTTCTGAGCCGAGGAGGTGGGGGGGGGGGGGTGGAAGAGGCCCCCTTCCGCGAGCGGTGCGCGCTCTTGGAGAACTCGTGAGGCCGCGGCGGTGCCGGCTGAGCGCACAGGTGAGGAGCTTCGTGAGTTGAAGACCAAAAAAAAATCTGCGCGTTGTGACTTCGGGTTCACGAGGTGACTGCTGCTGCTGCTGCTGCTTGCGACCGGTTTTTTGTTTCCTTCCTGTTCGGTTAAAAATAGCGACGTTTTTTTTGTTTGTTTTAGGTTTGTTCGTTCCTTAAATTAAGATTCGCTTGGTCGTGACGCCCATAGGCTGTGTCGAGTCTCAATATCGCACTTTGTACAATAGTTGTATATTTTTTTGCGGTAATCGATAGTTCTGGGAAATTAACAATAATGTAAGATATTTTGTGCTCCCTTATAATTTAATCGTATGTATCAATTTGGCGACAAGAATTAAACACAGATGTGCACTAAAACGCCGTTTACATGTCCTGTGTCGTGTCGCGCTTCGCTGTCGCGACTGGCGCCGCGCGACCTTCCTCTCCCAATCTCTCTCCGTGAGGTTACACACAAAGACAAAGGTCCCCCGTATAGCCTTTCACAGACTGTTGGGGCAAGTGCCGTTAGCGAGCACCTATAAAGGCCGGCACGGCACACGAGAGGGGTGGGTGGCCAGCACCACGCCCGACCGCCTTTGTATCCCCAGTGGCGATGTTTACACACCGCACCAGGTACTCATGTTAAGGCTGAGCCGATCTCGGGGAGACCCAGGTTCAGATAATCGTCACTGGTGTTGGCCGTGAGCGGGAATCGAACCCGGGTCGCCGGTTTCATAGCGTAGCGCGCTAACCGCTACACCACAGCTCCTCATGCACACACACACATGCGCGCCCACGTGTGTGTGCGTTAACCGCACAATAACGCGTGTGTTCACCTCGTTCACGCCGTCGTCGGCGCGTAAGACACCACGACGCCTTTGTCCTCGCTTCGGTGAAACAACGCGATGGGTTTGTGGGTGCCCCGATTTCACTTTGTTACGAGGCCGCTTTCTCGGCGCGTGTGTGTGTGGTTGCTTATTGTTTTTTAGCCCCAGTCTGCGGGAACACGACACTTGGTGTTGAGGTTCGAAGAGCAAAGTCGTTGAACTTGTACATTTTAATTATCCCACATTGGTAGTCTGGATTTGGAACCCTTAACCAGAAACAACAATTGAGAAAAGAAAATGCGAGGCGATTGATTGTGGAGGCGCGTGGCGGGGGGGAGCTTTCCTCCTTTCAATTATAACGTTTAATTATTTCCGGCACCGCTGCGCCGCCTATCACGAGGATCAAACGCGGGCACGGCGAAAGATTTGTAACGAAGGCGCGAAACTCCGGGACGGATTCGCTCATCCACGGCCACGTGCTCCCCCCCCCGCCGCGTTGCTCCCACACTTCGCCATGCTCGCCGCGTCTCCTGCATGCACCTCGTGCTCCCTGCGGAAGACACGCGCTCGCCGTGTCGCACACGCGTTGCGCTCCTCGGTGTCTTCACGAATGTGCGATCCCCCGTGTCTCGTGGCTGCGCGTTCCCTTGCGTCTCCCCACACTTGATTGCTTCTCAATATCCCCGAACCTTGCGTTCCGCGTATCTTCTGGCCGGAAAACACCGTGCCCTCCGTCTCCACGCGTCGTGGCCACCTTTGACATCCGCACACGCGTCGCTCTTTCGCGGGCGGTCTCTGCGGTTTTCTCGGCGACTTTGGGTAGAACGGTGCCTCGTGCCGGCGTCTGCTCGTGGCTAGGGTCACCTGCGGGACACGTGGCACGTGTGCCGCAGACGTGTCACGCGCTCCAGCGGGCACGTGCGTCGCGCGGGCACTCTGATAGGCACACTCATCGCAGATACGCTAATGCACACAGTCACTTTAATACTTTAATTGCACGGGCACTCTAATGGGTACATCATTCGAGACGTATTCTAAGACAGACATCGATCACACCAGCTGCGATAGCGGGTACATTGATAATAACGGCACGGAACTTTCGCGATGTGTTTTGTTCTTTTGTATGTACGTTGGACTTCTTTCGCGCCGTACGCAGCCAACCGTGCTAATTGTAGGAGCGAAAAGAAGTTCAACATAACAACAACCGCCACCACGGCTATGTGCACGTTGAGGCCACGTGAAGTTCAACATAACAACAACCGCCACCACGGCTATGTGCACGTTGAGGCCACGTGAAGTTCAACATAACAACAACCGCCACCACGGCACTTGTGCCAGGCTATGTGCACGTTGAGGTCCACGTGAAGTTCAACATAACGTGCACGCAAACCCGCAGCCCTCGCTCAATGCGAAGTGGCTGTTCCCTTCTTGTGCGCTGTGCCCACGGTCCGGAGTTCCCTGCGTTCACGTCCAAGGGGGCTCCAAACGACTCCACTCTTCCTCCCCATGCCCGGAGGATGAGTCTCTCTGTGTCCGTGAAGAGACTTCATTCAAATGAAACGTTCCTATCAGTTCCCTTTCTCCCGTAGCCTCCGCCTCCTCTTCAGTTGCTCGCCTTAAGTTGATCCCTCTGTATACCTCTCCAACGCGCACGTCTTGTGTGCGGCGCATCTTGGGATGCGCTCGGGTTTAAACAACAGCAAAACTATATGTAAAATGTGGGTTTAAACGACGTTTAAATCCGAGGTGTAGTTATATATATTAAACAAAAAATATTAAAGCTGCGTCCACCAGACGCGCTCTCTAACAGGTGCCGCGGACTGACGAGTCTTGAATAACAAAATCCACAGGCAGACGATATATCTCCTTCACACATCTATCTCTCAACATCAATAAAATAACAATAACTCATTTTTTTACCCATATCCCATTGGCCACGCGGCCTTCGGCGAGAGCTGTCTTTTTTTTTCGAGCAGCTTTCTTTTCACACGAGAAAACTCCGAGTCAGGATTCCACCTGCAGTGTCTCGTCAGCAGAGTCAGTGTTGCGCTAAACCGATGCCGATTAGCTGCCAGCATGTTCATAGGCAAGGAAAGACGACGAGGTCAGACTCTTGCGTGTGTTCGAAGCAAAACTATATATATAAAGACGGACGCTTGCGTTGCGACCGAAACGTCGTGTTTTCTTTTTTTTATTTAAAGCTTTCGTGACTGCAGGGATTCATATTCTTGGTTCTTTCGGTAAAGTCACGTAGAAGGGAAACAATAAAATAATAAAAATATAAAAAATAAAATTCTCACGAAGTTTCGGCTGCAACACAAGCAATCATCATCAGGTGTGTGTTTTCTTTTATTATTATTATTATTTTCTACCTACGTGACTTTACCGAGAGAACCAGAGAGTATGGATTCCTGCAGTCACGAATGCTTCAAATCAAGATTAAATATATAAAATGTACAACACGAAATAATCATGATATAGCGTCGTTGTGGAGAATATAGGAGAGGTGCGTTGATCTGTCGGGGAACTTTGTAAGCAGGAGCATTGTAAGCAGGAGCATTGCTCGGCACGGCTGCTCACAATGTCCAGCGTGGAGTCACAGAGACGGCGGGGCGAGGTCGCTCGCGGTCTTTACACAGCTCACACAGGCAACCCCGTTACATCGCACACACACACGTACACACATACACACACGTACACACACACACGTCCACACACATACATACACACGTACACACACACACGTACACACATACACGTACACACACGTACACACATACACGTACACACACACACACACACGTACACACACACACGTACACACATACACGTACACACATACACGTACACACATACACGCACAAACACACACACGCACGTACACACACGCACAGGCACCCCATTACATCACACAAAAGACAAAGATCCCCCGTATAGCCTTAACAGACTGTAGAGGCAAGTGCTGTTAGCGAGCATTTATAAAGGCCGGAACAACACACGAGGGGGTGTGTGGCCAACATCACGCTCGGCCGCCTTTGTCTCCCTAGTGGCGATGTTTACACACCGCACCAGGTATTCATTTGAGGCTGAATCGACCTAGGGGAGGCCCAGGACCGGTTCAGATAATCGTCGTTCGTGTTGGCCGTGAGCGGGAATCGAACCCGGGTGGCCGGGTTCATAGTGCAGCGCGCTAACCGCCACACACACGCACGTACAGGAACCACGTTACATCACACACACAGGCACCCGTATCCGTACATGTTAACATCTACAGAGTCGAGCCTCTCGCACGTGTCTCTACTCATCCGTGTCTCCACGCTCACCCGCGTCTCCACACTCACCTGCGTCTCCACACTCACCGTGTCTCTACTCATCCGTGTCTCTACTCATCCGTGTCTCCACCCTCACCCGCGTCTCCACACTCACCGTGTCTCCACACTCACCGTGTCTCTACTCATCCGTGTCTCCACCCTCACCCGTGTCTCCACTCTCACCCGTGTCTCCACACTCACCGTGTCTCCACACTCACCCGTGTCTCTACTCACCCGTGTCTCCACACTCACCCGCGTCTCCACACTCACCGTGTCCCCACGCTCCCCCGTTCTCCACACTCACCCGTGTCTCCACACTCACCGTGTCTCCACACTCACCCGTGTCCCCACGTTCACCCGTGGCCCCACACCTACCCGTGTCTCCACACTCACCCACGTATCCACACTCACCCGTGTCTCCACACTCACCCGTGTCCCCACGTTCACCCGTGTCCCCACGTTCACCCGTGTCCCCACACCAACCCGTGTCTCCACAAACCACCCATGTCCCCACGTTCACCCGTGTCCCCACACCAACCCGTGTCTCCACACTCACCGTGTCCCCACACCAACCCGTGTCTCCACACTCACCCGCGTCTCCACACTCACCGTGTCTCCACACTCACCCGCGTCTCCACGCCAACCCGTGTCCCCACGCCAACCCGTGTCTCCACACCAACCCGTGTTTCCAGACCAACCCGTGTCCCCACACCAACCCGTGTCTCCGCACCAACCCGTGTCCCCACACCAACCCGTGTCCCCACACCAACCCGTGTCTCCACAAACTACCCGTGTCCCCACGCTCCCCCGTGTCTCTACGATGAGCCCGAGTTTCCGAGCGTTGTCCGCTGAGCAAAGAGACTGCGCCAAGAGGACAAGGGACAGAAAGAGTTGCCACACCAGCATCTAACACATAACACCCTGACACTCGTGGACAAGATCCCCCCTCTCGAGCAAGTCAGCGAGCGGCACCTATGAGGACCGGCACGGCACACGAGGGGGTGGGTCGTCAGCACCATCGCTGGCCTCCTTAGTCTCCCCAGTAACGATGTTTAAACATCGTACCAGGGACTCATTTGAGGCTGAGTCGACCTAGGTCGGGGCGGGGGGGAGCAGGACGGATTCAGAAAAATCGTGACTGGTGTGGGCCGTGAGCGGGAATTGAACTCGGGCAGCAACGGTTCGTAGCGCTGCATTGATGTAGATGTGCACCTAGACATTGTACACGACTTGTACAACA